GAATTTTTCTGAATACACAGTTTTATAGCCCAATAAATTTTAGTCTGATAATGTGCAAGTGTCAAGGGGCTAAAGGTGACCGTTGATTTTTTAGAATTTTTTTCGCCAAAGGTGTTGCGGATTTCTTCCATATACAAATAAATTGAGTTTATTCATTATATGGAAGCCAATGCGACAAACAAAATTCTAAAATATTAACGGTAAATCGTAGCCACTTGACATTTGCACATTATCAGACTAAAATTGCAGTGGCTAAAAAACTGTGTACTCGAAAAAATTCTAACACTTCCGAGAAAAAAGTTTGAAACTTAGGTGAAAATTTGTTGCACTTTTTTGAAGTTTTCTACAAATTATTAAGCTTGGGTTTATATGGGGTTTGTTAGAAAAAGAACTGCATTTTAATTGAAAATTCTTAAAAATACATAAATAAACATAAGTGGCACACAATATCACTTTGAAATGGCGTGCTATAGATATGACCGATACTGTATATCAATAGAAATATTTAAAATTAATTAATTTTTCTTAATTTACAGATATTTTATTGTGGTATCCTTTCATTCGCGTTTGAACTCGATATTCAATAAAGTGACGGATGAGAATAAATATATAGAATAATAACGAAATGAAGCAAAAGAGAAAATGAAACAAGGTCCGATAGTTTAATCTATACAATGTGATCGCTAATTTTTTTTTTTGGTTTGTTCCCGATATTTTAAAATGTTAAGTAAAAAAGTGGTATGTGCTTAAGAAAACGTATTCGAAAATGCCGGAATATTGATCCAACAACTTTTCCGTTTTTGGACATGCCGTTTGGAAATGTACTTTTCGAATGTTCACTTTAGTGTGGAGAACGTATCCGAAAAATGTCCGAAAACTGATTCCGCTTTCGGATGAGACATCGCAATTTTATCAGAATTTATTTCCGTTTTTGGATCCGTTTGCAGACCTTTTGCTGGCTGGGTCATTTTACTCATAGGGTTGTATGCATAAAAAACTAAGCAATTGCTTCTACTTAAAATTTCATACCTCTCACCGTAATTTATTTGAACAAATCGAGTAAAAGGTCTGAAATTATTCAAAAAGCAAAATTCTTCACTAATCGAGTAACTTAACATTTGAGTAATCATAATTTCCAATTAATCGAATAATTGAGTTATTTACATTATGATTAATGAAAATAAATTGAATAATCAATTAATTGCACAGCCCTACTATACATACATAATAAAAAAATTAAATGTAGATCAATTGTGATAAAATGTATTTATATATAACTGTGCTGTATGTATGCAAATATACATAAGAACTAAAAATCTATTAACTTACGAGTGCAAATGTATGCCTTCACCCACTTGTTATTGCGAAATTTTAATATTTACAATTTTTAATTTTGTTCAAAATGTGGTATTGAATGTATTGCAAAAAAACTTACGAATCTAATAGGTCTCGTTGATTTTTACTCCCACCTAAGGACCACACTTCGTTTTTCTTTTGCGCATTTGCCTGGACCACTTGTTTGTTGGTCGCATCGAAACGACCTTTCGGATGGCTTTTGTGCCTACCCGGTATCCAAAGTATGCGTAGTCCTGACGAACGGGATGATTTATTCGAAAGTTTACCGCCACTAAAGAATTTGTTGCGTGACGAGGACATCGCTGATGTGTTGACTTATTCGACTTTTTGTTTTTTTTTTTTTGGAGAAATAAATAAAAATAAAAAAGTAAATAAAATTAGGTGAATATATTTCGTTTTCATCATTAGGAAAGGCCTTAAAAAATATATCTAAAGGCCGGATCTTACGATTAATACATTTGTAATTTTTTTTATTTGGCACCTACAAACTAAAAAACATTAGGACGACAATTTCTGTATCTCTCACACGACTGATACACCACATAAGTTTGGATACAATTAATTTGAAACTCATTTGGAAAATGCATAAAAAATTGTTTGTCAAGTTTGGGACAAAGCCCAATACGTCGTCGCTACCGTGTCAAACTATTGAATGTGCAAAAATATTTTTTCATTTATGATACCTTGCGTACGCGTTTAGAATGATATGTAAGTTGGCAAATCGACGAATTTGGATTAGTCTTCATAGAAGCAGAGTATATTTGGCTTTGACAAAGTGTCGATTCCCACACTTTCTCCCAATAACAACAACATTTTTACAACAGTTTCTTTGCTCTCCTGAAAAGTACCGATTTTCACATTCGAGAGTTTGACATGGTAGCGACGACATCTCCGATCACACGATTGGGCTTCCAATTTATGAAAAATTCTGGGCGAATTCCCAATCGGGTGATCCGGCCTTAATATTTTATTAAAGAAAACAACTTTTCAAATATTCATATGCAATGGTTACGGGACTTTAGCAACTCTTTTAACCTCGGCCAAAAGTATTAGGCAACACCCCAATATATGGCGTTTTGCGAGAGTCGAGACGTATAGAAAATGGCACGGTATTTCCTAAAATTTCGACTCGAAGTGTCCGGCACGCGGAGAGATACCCCACGACTCGAAACATCTCTTCGCATGCCCGGAAAACCCAACACAACTAACGCCCTTGTCCCTGTGGACAGACACCATAGAGGCTGCACGCTTTTTGGGTCTTCCGCTTGTTGAGCTTGATGACAATGACTGAGATAAGACCGATCTGGGCGAGGTTATTGTAGCGGCTACAACTACAACAACAGCGGCCGTCTATGATTCCACCAAATTAAAGGATCTTCTTGTCTGGGTATAAGGGTAGCTGTAAATATTTCTCCGCCTCTTGGCTATCCACATCAGTAGAAAAACAGAAATCAGTATCAGAGCCGTTGGCGATTTCCTCAAAGCATTGCCAAATATCCTGGTCCCGCTCTTCAATAGAAGCTTTCATTAGAATTCGACTTTTTCATATGATTCAGTAGGTTTCTCCATGCTGATCTATATTTTCGAATTATATTCACCATCTACCCAGTTTTTAGATTTATTGGTGTCAGAAAAGAAAACGAGTTTTGAAACGCGATTCACAAAATATTGCCACAATGAAGCCTTACATGCCTTTTTTCTTAGCGGCGCACACTGGGTCCGCCCCATATAAGCGGGTGCTCAAAATTCTGAAATCATTTTCTTTCCATTAGACTCGCTTGAACTACTTTTTAAGAGTAAATTTTTGACGTCTTAACCCATTATTGCTCATGCATTAACCCATTGGTGACCCATTTTTTGTAATATCTTATGATAAGTTAATTTGATTTTATTATTGTGCAAATTATGAATAATTTAACTCATTTTCGACTTTGACTTAATGCATTGATGACCATATTTTAACCCATTAGTGGCCATTTTTTTATACAGTATTTCCTCTGCTAATTTTATTAAAAAAATAGGTAAGTTTAGGTTACAATATAATCAGGAAGGACGAGTCCTTTCGATTTGAGGATAGCTTTATCAATGAATTCGCAATACTTAAAACTAAGTTAAAAGCGATAAAATGTAATAACATTAAAAAACGTTGTATTTGTTGTAATCAGTAGGAAAGAGCATGAAACAGGTGAAGTCATTTATATAGAGATCAGTTAGATAGTAAAAGATAGGAAATACTAGATACAAAAATTTACGTTTCAATGTAAAACATAATGGGATAAATGCATGGTCAAAAACAAATTTGAAAGTAAAAATAATTTCAGCTCTCTGAAATCACTTTTTTAGAAAAATTTGTAAAAAAAGTCAAAATTATTTTTAGTTCCATCTTTGATTCGACTATGAATATGCCCCATTATGTTTTAGAATTTCAAAATTGTTCTAGAATTTCAGATCAAAACGATAAAAATTTCGATGAAGACTTGTTATTTTTTTTTAAACTTTGTATAAAGCTTGAAACTTTTATTTATATGGTTTTGATTAGAAAAAATTTTAACTTAAAAAACATTATGAATATCACTGTGCGACAATTTTATGACAATTCAAACCAGTCCGGACTTTGGTAACATTTTGTGAAAGTATCCAGTAATAAAACACTTGATGGATTTCCAAAAGTTAGCTCGTATTTTTATTTTATGGTCTACTCAAGTTTTCATGTCCCGGGCATAGTGTAGTTTTCAAAAAAGTGGAAAAAATTTTTGAAATAAATGTCTGAGCGAAATTAAAGGTTAAGACATATATAGTAAAATTTCATGGGAAATATTGTAGAACATTGTAACCCATTAGCGCCCGCCTGAAAGGGTCCTTTTGACCTTTACTTAAAAAAAAAAATCCCAAAAGGAAATTTGGAAGGTCGTTAGAGGATTGATTCAGAAAATGTTAACAAAGTCCGGCCTGGTTTCGGCTTTCGCACAGTCTTATTCTGCCTTTCCCAGAAAGAAGCGTATATACCAATTTTGGACAAGAATGATAGTCTCCCTACATCGTGAATTTTGGAAGCAGTTTGAATGGCGACGTTGCACTGTACGTTAGTGCCTTTTAGTTACCAGTTTAAGCTAGTTTCATACGCCATATACATACATACATTCATATATATGTACATAAATACTTTATGAAAGGGTTGCAAGAATGGCAATGCATTAACAGCTCCTGCTAGAATTCTTCGCAGTACATATTGTCTTCTGTTAAAAATACCTATACGGCCACATAAAAATTATTCGGGCCCGGGAATAAAACCATTATTTTTATATAATTTTGGGGTCGATGGCAGAGGTATTGTGCGGCGCCCCAACGGTACCGATTGAGGGCCTAAGTGTGCTTGTGTGTCCACCAGCAATCACTTCAGCCGAACCTAACCTATCATTTATAAAATAATTAAATTTTGTGTGAGTACATACTTACATACATACTCGTATAGTTACAAATTTTAAGTAATCCCATGAAGTATCATGAAAAGCATTTTTAAAAAGGAATTGGAATCGTAGACAGGAGCATTGCGCACATGTCGCGCACGAAAACAGGCTTTTCCGACAAGCAATCGATGGATGATGCATAGTTCGGCTGTGTAGTTCGATGGTGTGCAGCTAAAAAAACTTGGCACTGCAGTTTACAGCCATTGTAGTTTCAATTTAGTTATTGGCGGTGAACTTGTTTTAGGCATTTAAAAGAGGGATAAGAATGCGAAGAGGAATGAACTAAGAGTTGGGAAAACAAATGGAATTTAGCAAATCTCAAAACGTGGAGCTTTACTATGAGTTCTTTTGCATGATTTACTTAGGTTATTTTTTTTTTCAATACTCGGCGAGAATATTTTCGGCTTCAAGTGTAGTATCCAGGCCAATATTAAAGATAATGAGAGAAAATAAAATTCCAGCCATGCAATTGTGCAATCTGTAAAATTTGTGTGACCACACCTCACATGCCGATTTCTATTTTATTACTTTTGCATACAACTGCGTATGCTTTTAAGCTGAGTATGTAAAAATACATTCATGAAAACACCAAAACCAAAACAAAGTAAAAAAATAACCACGTACAAGTCAAACAACTCGCCAATACACCACAATTGCGTTTTTCATTCTTTATTGAAGACACACTCTTACGGATTTATGTATACATGCACATACGTATGTATGTATGTACATACAGTCCTGTGAAAAATAATAGCGACACGAAATTTTTTACCAGTTTTTGCTATTTTTCTTATGCTTGGTCTAATGTTTATTATTCTTTTATACAAATACAGCTCATTACCTAACAAAAACCATATAAGTCCAAATCTCAAACTTAGAGGATAAATGAAAAAAATCAACAAAATTTTACAACAATAAACTCTTTATTAGGAGTTTTTAGAAAAATCATATGTATGCAGTTTTATAGCCAATTGAATTCTAGCTTAAAAAGTGCAAGTTTTAAGTGGCTAAGAATTCACGTCGATTTTTGATATTTTTTTTGCGGATGATGTTATTATTTTTTTTCCATACAAAAAAAATTGTCGAACACACTTTGTATGGAAGAAAATCAGCGATTTCTCATTTATAAAACTCAGATTTTTCTAAAAATTCTTCATAAAAAGTTTGTTGTAGTAATCTTTTGTTGAATTTTTCTTCTTTATCTACAAAGTTTGAAATTTGGACTTATATGATTTTTGTTAGGTAATGAGCTGTATTTTTATAAAAAAAATAATAAACATTAAACAGGGATCACACGATTTGTACATCTCTACAGATTTGTACAATTTCAGAGTTACAGAGTGGTGTTGTTTGGAAAGCTGTTATTGAGCTGAACTCATTATTTCTAGACAACAACACTCTGTGCCTGCCAAAATGTACAAATGTACAAATCGTGCGATCCCTGCTTTAAACAAACAAAAGAAAAAATAGCCAAAACTGGTCAAAATGTCGTGCCCCTATTATTTTTCACGTGACTACACATACTATGTATACATATGGGTGTGTGAAAAAAGCCCAAGTTTGGAATATTTCGACATATGTATTTATTTACTATTTGTATTTAAAACACCAACAAGATCAAAGCGACACTGTAACGGGCGGCGATCAAAGGGGACAGCTCCATCGGCAAGGTTCCAATTAATTTATGAACGTGCTGTGCCAACTTGCTAGCATAGATTAAGGTCAAGTAAGGCAAGTGCGAGAAACACTTTACTTTCAAGCTGTGTGACAAATTTTGGTGTTTACGTTTTATATGTAAAACCTCAAAAATAATTCGGCGTCGCACATCTATTGCGCCTATTTTAAAACGGCTTTACATCTACTATATTTGCTGTAAAGTTTTTTAACGGTGAAATATGTACGTATACGAAAAGAGGACTCGAAACTACATAGTAGAACAACATATTTTTTTTTTTGAAAGTGAGAAAATTTATAATATGTCTAGTAAGATAGCTTTCGCACCGCCGAATTTGATATTAGTCATTTATATTTTTATGACATACCACACCATACGACACCCTTCTGAACACCTCATTAATGTTGAACGATACCGCTTCACTTGAATACCCAGCGTTTTTCTTCCAGAACCGAGCTTATGTCTATCTGTAGCTCGTTTCTGTAACAATTCTCTACCAAGGCGAATTGAGATATGAATTCGCCGCCCCGTTCTCTACTGCTAATTAGTAGGTGAGAGTGACGTATTTTCTCTACCAGTAGAGAAATAATCGGTAGAGAAAAGTTACAGAAACGGGCTAATGGACTTGTAAGCATTGAGTAAGCTTCGTTTTAATCTTATTTCGACCGTGTATAAATTATAAATAGTTCGCTCTTCATGCTCCTTCAGCTACTTTTTGTTTCATTATATCATTTTAAGCGATTCTCGATCGTGAGAGGCTTTTCCATTAACATCTAGCATGTCATTATTTGATAAATTATTGCGAGTTTAAGACAACTATTTTCTTTATGGTGGTTTTGAGAAAAATGCTCAACTTTTCTTTTTCACACGCACAAAAATCTGTGAAAATAAAGTTTTCACAGCGAAAACTTTTAAACAAATCAATTTATTTCCATTTGTAAACAGAAACGTAATTTTTTTTGTGACGTGATAAAAAATGGTTTGATTCACGTTTTCACAGAAAAAGAATTGGCCTCCGGCATGGTGTAATAATAACAAGATGTTGTCAGTAACTTAACCTCACTTTTTCGGCAAGACTATTCCGGTCACGCATTTTAAAGTACTAGAAAAGGTACTAATTATTTGCTACTTTTAATCCGTTGGTGTATACTATTTCAAATTAAATGTAGAAAAAAGTATGTATAATTACAGGCTTATAAGCCTGAATATATGTTTGTATCGGCAGCTCCACACAGCTTGGACATATATTGTAACTTTAAAAAAGTAAAAGCCGTAAAATAAGGCAATTTCCTATAAGACTGTAAATGACTTTTTAAATAGATTAAAACACATAAATATCGATAATATAAGCGAATTCCTAATTTAACCATGCAGCCACTCTATTCTAGTGTATCAGTAGTTTATTTGGCTCAATATTATGACAATGCAGCAAGAGTTATTTAATATAAAAAAATCGCATTTCCATACGATTTTTGTGTACGTTTTTTCCATTGATAACCACGATATCTTTTATTTTATCTTTTTTTTCGAGGACAAAAATTATACAAATCCAGCAATTTTAGATATTAATATCGTTCTGAAAGCTCCAAGTTCTTAAAAAATCACTATACAACGAATTACTCAAATGGAGTATTTTAAATACTATTTCACAACGAATGTTGGTATTAAAATTAAGATCGGCAGCACTGAAAATCAGCATGCTGATGTTGTCAAAATCACAACAAACACGTCGCTACTGATAACACCTTGTTATTATTCCACCATGGGCCTCCGGGATATTTTTTTAAAAACTGTTCTACGAAAAAATTTATTATTAAATGTTACTACAATTATGTGTGATGTGGGTAAAAAGCTCAATAACACTTTTGACACAAAAAGTGTCAACTTGAATCAAATTCTTACGAGGTAAAGTAAAATCTTGCTCTTGCTAAGGCGTTGTAAGGTTTGATGACTAAATAGCACACATGAATACTTACAATTGATATGAGTTGAGGGAAGTGTGAACAACCCAATTGTTGTCGTCATGTCCTGTTGAGAAAAGGTGGAGAGGTAAGGCGTTTTTGAGCGTAATATTCAAAGAAAAAAGTACATCAAATACTTAGGCATTTTTGCCTTTTTAAATAAAAAACAAGCAAAACACAAAACTTATACCAATTTTTCATACATACATATTACATACAAACACATATCTACTTACATACATACATACATATGTACATTCTGAGAAAATATTTGCCTTTTGCATGATCTGGTCTGGACCAGTGTGACAACAAGATCGCTATCAACACGTTTTCGAAACGATGAGTCGTTAGCGACTACGAATGCGACGACGACAACAGCAAGGTATACATACATACATGTATCAGCTTTTATTCACTTCGTTGCCCGTGTACACAAGTGCATACATAGTAGGGATGCCAATATCCCGGGATTAACACTGAGACATAACTTTTATGAATATGAGTAAAAATTCAATAACTGAAAGCATTTAAACATACATCCCATAAAATAAAACTATTTAAAATATACGATAAACTGATTTTAAAACTCACATATTTATTTATTAATACAGACAAGTCTTGAACTAATAATTTTTTTAAACTGTATTTGAAAACCCATGTGATTGAGGAACGCATAGATCACAAACCAGGTACTTTGCGAAGTGATAATTAATAAAAAAAAAAAAACATTTTTTCGCAATTTTCGTAATTTTTTCGAAATTTTGAGGGTGTACGAGTCCGAGTACGAGTATGCACGTAAGAGCAGCCTTCTTGTTGTCTACGTTCTTTGCTCCTATCTCCTCCATTACAAAATATTTGAGATTCTTTTACCGGCACGTCAGATAAATTATAAGTTTTTCGATTTGAGGAAGTTTGAGTAGGTTGATTTAAAAAATTATGTAACTTTTTCTTAAAACTTCGTTTACATTTGCGGCGCTATGAGTACATTCATTTAAATCTTCTTCAAAAACTGGCTCAGGATATACACTGCCGGAACAAAGTAATGGCACAGCAAATTTTTCACAATATATGCACAATTTTAATTCTAATATTTTTTCGCTAATTTCCTATAAAAACAAAATACATAAAAATATAATTCCTAATTCCTTTGTGCAAAACTCGCGAAAATTCAAACTTTCTGTTTCGTTTACATTTGCGACGCTATGAGTATATTCATTTAAATCTTCTTCAAAAACTGGCTCAGGATGTACACGGCCGGAACAAAGTATTAGCACAGCAAATTTTTCACAATATATGCACAACTTTAATTCTAATATTTTTCCGCTAATTTCCTATAAAAACAAAATACATAAAAATATAATTCCCAATTCCATTGTGCACAACTCGCGAAAATTCAGCAAATTTTCATGAAAATTTTCAACTTTTTAATCAGATTTTTTAGAATTTTTTGAGTGTGCAGATTTGTAGCCCAATAAATTTTTTTATAATAAAGTGCAAGTTTTAAGTAGCTAGGAATTACCTTTGATTTTTGGCATTTTTTTTCACGCAGTCTCTTCCATACAAAATTTTTTTTTTTCGAAAATACTTTATATGGAAAAAATGCAAAACACCTTCAAAAAAAAAAAAAAATTCTCAAAAATCAACACGATTTTTGACTAACTCCGAACTTGCATTTTTTTACTAGAATTTAATGGGCTGCAAAACTGCATACTCAAAAAATTCTACAAAATCGGATTAAAAAGTTGAAAATTTTGATGAAAATTTGCTGAATTTTCGCGAGTTTTGCACAAAGTTTAGGAATTACATATTTATGTTTTTTGTTGTTGAATGAACCATATTTTTATATAAAACTGGCGGAAAAATATTAGAATGAAAATTGTTGCATATATTGTGAAAAATTTGCTGTGCCAATACTTTGTTCCGGCAGTGGATTTTTAAAAGTGCAGTTTCAAGATTTTTGTTAATTGTAGTCGAAAGGGCATTTTAAAAAATCATACTTCCAAAATCAAAAAAAGTACTTACTTTCAATTCGATATTCAAAATTTTTTTCGGGATCACGGAATTAATATCTACGAGCAAATCCAGGGATTTTTGGGACCTGGCATCCCTAATACATAGTACGTAAGTATGTGTTTACTTCTGTACATACATACATACATATGTATCTATACATTTACGTTTTACGAAAACTACTTAAAAAAATCACTTAACACGTTTAAGTTTAATGCACACAAACGCAAGAAGGTACAAGCGAAAATTACATTTGCATATGTAGCAACTTAACAGCAGGTTAATTGGTAATTTAATTAGTTAATTTTGTTATTAGTGCAATTCGCAGCTTATTACTTTGAGATACATTTAGGGGTTTAGACAAATTTATATCATCTCGACTTCTTAATTTTGCGAATGTGGTATTTTTTGCTTGTGATTTGTTTAGTCTAGTTTTGCCTTCAGTCAATTATTGCATATACATATGTACACATGTACATATGGGTACGAATGTGAACATAACGGCATTTGCAGGAATCAATTAAGGGAAATTGGTTATTAATTTAAGTTTGTATTCATATTCATTCACTGTACATTAGACTACGATTCACGTTCGCACAGTGCGGCCGAAATACAAAAGTACGGCCGAAATTTGAAAAAAAAGGTTTTTAGATAGGGCTTTTTCAGCATTAAATTGGCTAAAGAGATCCTCTAAGAAGCGAAAACCTGTCACTGTAACGGCCTGTACGCCAGGTCCCCAATTTATTTTCACTCGGAATGTGGTCTTCGCCCAAGCACAACATTATGGTAGATTCGAAGGGAAAAGTTATAAACAGGGCTGCCAACTATCCTTAGCTATGAAGTGCCGTATATATATTTATATATACATATATACAGATGCGTGCCACTAATTAGCAACGAAATTCAAAACGATATTGCTTGCAAATTATGTTTATTTATTTATTTTTAATAATTTTCATTTAAAATATAATTAATTGGTGCAAAGCTTGCACCAAGGCGAATTTATATAAGGTGGTGTTACTAGCTCAGCTGATTTTGTGTATGTGTTTCGCCGCACGGCTTCTGATATCAAATTGAAAAATTTTGTTTGAATTTCTACACAAACTCTTACAAATTTTGACAGTTTATGCCGCCAAAGCAAAAACAAAATACATGTAACACATGGCTTGCACATGATCAAAATTTTTTTTTACATGGAAAAAAATCCGCAACACCCTCGACAAAAAAAATTCTAAAAAATCAACGGTAATGTTTAGCGACTTGAAACTTGCACTTTATTATACTAAAATTGAATGGGCTACAAAACTGCATACCCGAAAATTTTCTAAATAGTCTAATTAAAAATTTTGAAATTTTGATGACAATTTTTTGAAGTTTGATTAATTTTTTTGCAATTTGTGCAAGCTTCATACAGTTCGTACATGGTATACATGGTCCGATCTGCCTTATTTGAAAAATATCATTGTTGCCCACACTAACCGGCCTATTCTGCGGTTAGTAAAGTTACTGTCAATTTTTAAACCCTTTTCGTACTCTCCATACTCTTTTAACCGGTAAATTTTGTTACCATCTCATGAGCAGGTAACAAAATATTGCCCCGTGAAATATGCAACACCAGAATTTCAACAAAACTTCATAGCTGAATTGCTGAATAAATTAAAAGGTTACCAAGGTAAATAGAATTGCGGTTGCAAGAAGTGGTGACAATTGTTGGTAACAAAATTAGCTTGTTACAAAATGTTCGCTTACTAGCAGAATAGGCCTGTAAAAGGCTTAGGTACTGCTAGGCAAAAGGGATATTTCCATACCCCATATATCATATATGTACATATGTATGTACACGTATTTTTTTACACAAACCTTCTTGCAGATGACTTATTTAATTTGCAAAAGCCGAAAAAAAACATTTGCTTAGTGACTAAATTCAAAATTTGTATGGCTCACTTCATTTCAAACGATTTTTCTATTTTGAAAAATTATAGAAATTAAATTGAGCGAACAAAAAACAAAGCCAAATAAAAGTAATCAACATTGAACTGCATCAAAACGAAAATAAGGGGGCACGAATTTCGATGTGAAGCAAAACTCTCTTGGAAAACAATACCTGCAATTATTGTACCATGCAATTCGTACATATACATATGTATGTACAAAAAGACAGATGGAGAAACACATATCTTCGCGATATTTGGGAAGTCGGGCTATTCTACTTATCAAGCGTATTAATTGCATAATGAAAAACGTAAATTTTGAGTTACTTCACTATATTATTAAACATGTCATATGTACCCTGTAAACCATTTTTCAGAGTATTCTGCGTTGTAAAGAAATTTTAAAGAATTCGTTAAGATTTCATTGGATTTTTTGCCGAATTTTCTAAAATGAAATATATTACGCACACTTCAATTCTTTTACGAAATTCCGGAAGAAAATCTGTGAAGCAACGAAAATAATGCTGCTATGTGAAGAATATCTTTCAGAATTTTTCCAGAATTTTCTTTATTTTTCGTACAGAAATTTCTTTACGAGTTCGTGTCAACCACTTCATATAATTTTCTTTGAAAATTCGTAAAAAAATCGTTACAGCAATGAGATACCCTAACGATTTCCTTAAGATTTCGGGAACTTTGGTTTGCAGGGTATGTACATATTTTGTAGTAGTTATAAGTATTGGATTTCAGCAACATGTGTTTTGCTCTCATTTTACGTTGAACTTAGAAAGTAAAACACCAAAAACTTGTGAATTTGTGAAGGTATAACCTGGGAAGCAATATAAGTATGTACATATATAAGTAACTACTTAATTTAATTCTTCCGATGTTTAATTTTTTATTATTTACATATGTACATTAAAGTGGTCCAAAATTTGTATGTCGGATTTTTAATGCCGGCACCCCCTAGGATTGTTCTATATCGAAAAAAATATACCCCTATTTTTTTATTTTGAAAAAAAAAAATAAAAATAGGGAGTGCTCAAAGCGCTCAAAGTTTTCCATGTATTTTATATGGGGGAAAAACAANATAATACGCAATTGTCTCTTTAACCATTTTTTCATAGTAACTATATTTTATAGGTCCTCCAAAACCCCTAGAAAATGCAATGGAAAAATCTTTAATCAT